TCATTGATAAAAGAGGTACCAGTCAGATAAACAAAGACAAGATTTGCTACTTCAAAACACGAAAGAAATTGTTTTTTCAGAAAAAGTTTTGTAGAATCGATTCTACAAAATATTTTCTGAAAAAAACAATTTCTTTCATGTTTTGAAAGCATTCATGTTTTGAATGCTACTTCATGTTCTTTCATGTTTTGAAGTAGCATAAGTAGTGATTAATCAGCGGTAAAAAAATTTCAGCATTTCAATCAAATGAATCAGTTACATTTTTACTAGGAACTAAGCTGTAATGACTTCTTCTTGAAATAATTGAAATATTTATACTTGATTTTAAACTTTTAATGTCAGCTTGTAGCAAAGTACTTTTTATCTGAAGCAAGCTTTACTGTAATCTTGATTAAATAATTATAAAATTTAATAGAATGAAGAATAATTTTTGCTTTCTTTTATTCTTTAATAAATGTTTATCAGTAATCTTGTCCTTGTGCTTGGCGTTGAGGTGACGAATCACCGTGTGATATACATCGTTTCTTGCAAAACAAACACATAAATATTCTTTCTTCACTTTGGTTATGATAAATTAAAATAAGTAGTTTAATGTTTGAACTAAAATTGAGATCAGCCTCCAACAAATAGCAACACAATAGCAGCTAAATTAGCTGCTATTGAGCAAATAGCAACTCAATAGCAGCTAAAACAGCTGCTATCGAATTTATTCAAATTTTCAAAGTCTGCGTTACAAAAAGTCATTTTTAAAACATTTAATGCACTCTCAGTCCGGTCACCACTTATAGCTTAAGTTATTTTACGAAATCTATAGGTAACGGCCCGCGTTTCCAGACTAGTTAAATACTATGTTAAAACATAGTCATAATAACAGATAGTCTGGCCAGTTTGGCCGTTTTCGCAAGATTCTATTGTTTTTAAACAATCAAAGTTAAAATTTTGAATTTATGTTAAAAACTGTTTATTCATCGTGCCCAGGCTACTAATAAGTGAACAAAAATCTAAAAAAAATGGCAAAAGACGAACAATCCGTTGATCATCTTATATTAGAATTAGAGTCAGGTACTTTTTTTGAAAACGATAAGTTCCTTAGTGATGTTGATGCTCTTCTTAGTGAAATTGAAAATGGAAATTCTTTAATCAGTTTTAATTGCCAGCAGTTTGTTAAAAAATGTAAGTCAGAGAAAGGACTCAAGCGTCACATAAAAACTCAACACTCAAATAGCGACTCTCTAACACAACTAATAAATCTAACAACTAATGTTAAACAAACTTGTTCTGTAGATGAGTTCAAAAATTTTGTTATAAAAAGCATAACCATTCTTAAAAACGATTTTTGCTACCCTCCACATATTAGAGATGAACTTTAAAAATACATATTCTCAGAAGATGATGCAAAGCATTCATCCGACTTGATAAAAGATGTTATTGAAAATTTTAATGGTGACGCGGAAATTTTTTTATCTAAAGTTTTACAAAGTTGATGGTCAAAAATCATTTTTTTTTTAAATCTGCAGACAAAACCTCAACTCTTGTAGGATATGATCTTGCTAATCATATTTTGGCTCACTTAACGAAGTCTAAAAACGCAGCCTCAATTTTAGTTTTTGACAATGCAATTCAGTTTACAGAAAAAGAAAAAACATTAATTAAATATTTGGGAGGATTGTATTTAGTATCTTTTATCAAAGGATACGTTATTCAAAAGTTTGGCAAAGTAGATTTGGTTAAGAAACACTTTTAATTTTGTTGGCTGGAAAAATTGTAGAAAATGAATTTGAAGAGTATCATGAAACTAATAGAAAATTTATTAGTTTTAAAAATAGAGGTGGTCTTTGGTCTATATCATCTGATGTTTTTTCACTATTTAGAATAGCAGAAGTAGGATTCAGAAATTCTACATAAATTTTGAGTGAAAATATTGATTGCAGCAAGATGACAATAGAATTGCTTTAAGATGTTGAGGTTTTATCTTACTTTTCAAAAATTTGGAGGCGTGAACTTCCCATTAAATGCTCTTCCGCGGTGCTCTGTGATAAGACCGTATCGACTTCTTGGGGCACCTTAATCAACTTAAAATATATATATATATATATATATATATATATATATATATACATATATATATATATATATATATATACATATATATATATATATATATATATATATATATATATATATATATATATATATATATATATATATATATATATATATATATATATATATATATATATATATATATATATATACATTTTTATGAGAGATCCCTCCCTATTCACACCCTGTTAAAAACAACAACAATTAAAATAAAATATTTTATACCAAATAAAGTCTTTACAATGTTTGTGGCTATGAAAATAGCCGTTTTTAATTTCCTTTTTAAATCTTCATAATTATAATTATATATTAGTTTAGATCTTCATAAAATAAATCTGATACGTGATTCCACAAAATGTGATTATCAGTATTCCACATATACCTCCCTTTACCTGAAGCAGAATGAAAAAGGCAATTTCGAGCAGTTTTTATCAAATGTTAAGGATTAGCTATGAAATATATATATATATATATATATCGATCTTCATCAGCAAATTTATTTTTGATGCGATAAGTAAATTTAATATTTTTATTATTATCTTGTATTTTTGTCATATGAAAATGCATAGAAAAAAATTTTCGATTACATGAGGCCCCATCACATGTAGTAGCAATTACTTTTAGATTGCATGAAAGCTCTTAAATACTGACAGCTTTCCAAATAAAAGGGGAATAACTGAATAGCTTGAATATTTATTGTAGTAATGTTTGCAAAACTATATTTAAAAAGGGTTTACAATACCTCTTACAAGGAAAACAAGGACATGTGTTGCAATTTCATCAGCCTTATTCAGAGTTGCATAGTTAATATTAGTATCACCAAGGTCAACAAATCCTATAAGATCACCAGAATATTTATTCCAGACCAAATTATCTTGAATTTTTATTTCATCTAATAAAAATGTAACAAATCCCAAAATAACTGAGTGACTGTACTATCATTTTTTGATATGGTTGAAACTAAGTCTTTGTGTAGGTCATCACTGACAAGATGGGATGATTTATTTAATTCCTGTTGCATTTCTTTGATGTTATATTTAGGCAATTTATTTTCTAAACAGTAACTTTGTAAGGTAAGTTTGTCACGTTTTGGTGCAGTTTTAGAAATTGGAGCTCTAAGTTTAGATGGAATAAGTAATTTATCACTATTTTTTTTAACAGATATTTGGTTTTGAGACTGAACGCATTGGCATCCTTTACAAATATCTTTTTTTTTAAATAACAACATCACATGAAAGAGTTCGGGTATGTTTTGTTTGGTTTAAAGGTAAAGAATAACTATTAAATAAATCAAAGTTTTTAGGTATAACATGAAAAAGATAGCCATGAGAGCTAATTAATTTATCTGGGATACCTGGGCATACTATATATGACAGCAAAACTGAAATAAGGTTACAAGCAGTTGTATTAAACATTGATCTTTTTAGATGCAAGTATATTTCATGACTATATGGGAGAGCCCATAAAAATAAACGAATAGTAAACGAGAGGCTATAATCAATATAAATTTCGTACTTAGGAACAGTGTAAATATCGTCCATCTTACTCAATTTTAAAAAAGTATCACTAATATTTACATTCCAATTAAGTTTTAGTAAACTAACACGTTTGACCAACTCCTTCAAAAAATTTATATGATTTAATATGAACAGATTCATCTGAAACAGAAGGTATAGTTGATTTCTTTAGGCATATAGAAGAAGCTGATGCTCGTGTTTCAGGATTAAATATACACAAAGAAGAATATGGAACTGTTTAAACTGGAAGATTTAATGTTGGTAGTGAACCTGATTTTAAAGTTGTTTTTTTTTGGATTTAATAACTAACAAATTAGGGGTCGTCCATAAATTACGTTACGCTATAAGGAAGGGGGGGGGGGGGGGAAGTTGGTAGTTTTGCGACGACTCATACAAAAATTGCTTCTTAAGTGTTACGATTTAGTGACGAGGGGGAGGGGGGAGGTCAAAATCTGTAAAAAAATGCGTGACGTAATTTATGGACGATCCCTTAGCTTCGTAATGCTTTTCACAAATAAACAACTTTTTTAATGAGACCTAAGGCTTTCACCGACTACTCTATCCTTAGTTATGATATTTAAAACTTTTATTCTTCATTTTTTATTAAAATCATCATTGGAGGATGGTATTTTAAAAAGTGAAACACCCTTATTTCTTCGAGAAGTACCACAGCCAAAAATGGAACAATTAGCACCAGGCATTTGCAAATAACAATGTTAAATAAACATTTTTTTTGTTAATATTATTTTTAACGCGTCTTTGTTTACAAAAAGTGTGCACTTATTGGTGGACTGAGTTCTAAAAAAAGCTAACTGTAAACAATAGCGCTCCGGACTATGTATATCATGACTATGGTTAAAACCTAGAATAGCTAACTAATTGGGGTGTAGTTTCAAGGTGTCTGCGTGCTTTATTTTTCATTGAAATTTAGCAGGTAGTAAGAAAAAAGGTTTTTTAAGGTGAGAGCTTATTCTCCGTCAAAATTTTAAATAAAGTTTTTTTCTTATTTATTAAAATTATTCTGAGAGGAAATTAAGGTTAGACAGTGACCACCATAATGGTTGCAAATGTTAAAATTATTTGTTATTTTTTGAAGCCCGGCCGGTAAGTTTTGAAATTTCATCTTTAATATTAATTTAATATTAAATTATAACCACCATAGGATTTTAAATAGAATATTCCAAATTGTCTTAACTCTTTCAATTTTTTAAAATTTGATGCCACTGCTTTAATTAAAATTTCCTTATATTTGTCAACTATTTTTGTAAACATTAATGCAGTAATCGCTTAGGAAAATAGATTTGTACACATGCTCAAATAAATTTCTCTTTTTCTCTTTACATGGACACACACACACACGCACAAACAAAGATATATACATATATATATATACATATATTTAAACATATACATACATACATATCAACAATAATACCCCCAAAATTTTTCTGGCGAAAAAAATTAATTACTACCATTTTTTGGAATACTAATGTACTACTAACAATTTAACGCAAATCTTTCAATAAAAAAAACAACGACAACAGCAACAAAAAAATAAAATAAAGATAAACCGTAATTCGCGTCAATAAAAAGTCTATTATCTTTGAAAAAGTTAAGTTTTGACTTAAAAAAAGAAAAAAAAAATTAATTCGAAATACAAAGTACAAATTATAGATTAAAAAAACAAAAACAAAGCAGCGTTTTTAAATGCAAGCAATTACATTCTAGAGATTTTTCAATGTTTGGAATCTTCTTGAGGCTGTGCCAACTTAAGATTTTCAATATTTTGAACCTTCTGGAGGCTGTGCCAACTTAGCATTTTCTTTTAGTGTCATGGACCTTAAATATAAAAACATTTAAGTACAGATTTTCTTACACATAAAAAGTAAGTAATATAAAATAAAGATTTAATAATTGAAATAAGTTTTTATATTCTACCAAAGGAAATTTTTAGTTATATAAAACTAAAACGATTAAAACAATGAATATTTTTATTTATTTAGTTTGAACCCTTTTTTAAGCTAACATGAAAAAGCATTATGTAATTTTAAAATGTTTAAGAGTAACTGAGCAACCCATAAAGTTTTTAAAAACTAGCTTTTAAAATGCAGCATCAATTTATTATGAAAGAATTTTTAATAAAAAAAACTTATGGATTTTTTTGTATGAAACGCTCTAATATTTATATTAGGATCAAAACACTTCTAATTTCTTAATTAAGTCTCAATGATAATCAGCACCGTTTAATTTTTTGTCAGCAAGATTTAAAGCTTTTTATATTTTAAAAAATTATAATACAAAAGTTTATGAAGAAAATAAAGTGATTTTATTAATAGGTGTATAATATATATATATATATATATATATATATATATATATATATATATATATATATATATATATATAATATATATATATATATATATATATATATATAAATATAGACACACACACACACACACACACACACAAGGGTTGAATTCAGTGATTGCGAAACGCAAAATCTGGAAAAATATTTGGTCAAAATTTTAGTTTATGCAAAACTGTGTTCTTTGTTTTCAAGTAGCGAATCAACTTTGTTAGCGAAATAGTTATAAAAATTAAAACAATTAACTTACGATTACAAAAGAAATAACACTCTAGTCACTAACTGCATTTAAAGTAACTTTATTTAAAGTAAAAAGTAAAAACTTTATTTAAAGTAAAAAGGCTTCTAGAAAAAATAAAGTGGATATTTAATTATTATTATTATTAATTATTAAATATACAACTTTACAAAAATGTACTTTATAAAAAGTTTAGCTTTATGAACAAAACTTTACTAATAGTCCGTAAAAATTAAAATTTGGGATTACTTATCTTGTTTGAACAAAGAATGAATTATAATTGTTATAAGTGCGTTGTAAAAGTAATAACACTATTATAGTGTAATTACTTTAATAATGTAGTTAGTGACTGGAATGTTATTTTATTTTACTTTGAATTGAAAAAATTACAATGTATGAAAATATACTTACTGCATTTATGTTTCTAACAAAAGATTTTATCAATTGTCCAGAATATTTACGTTTAACTTATTTCATTGATAATGTAAATCTACGACAAAATTTAGTAATTTCTATGAGGTGGGAATTTGACAAGATTCAATTATAGTAGCTCAAAAAACAATTCAATGGTTCTACTTGTTGCAGTAGTAAATTGCTTTATAATAATTATTTTAAATTTGATAGTTGAGATAAGTAAAAATTAAATTAATTTAAATATGCATGAAGAAGAAGAACGCGGTCAGAAAACAGAAAGTAAAAGAACACTAAGGTCTTAAAAAAAACTATTCATTATCGAAGAAGCAAAACCAGCAATAAAAGGTAATAATTAGTTTTATAATGAATTCCTTGTAATAAAATATATAAAAGAAATAAAAAGTTTAGCTAAACTTTTTATTTTTTTTAATTGTAATTAAGGGTGTCAGCTTTAAACAGGGATGGAGATACTGCAGCACTTAGCTTACAGACAATCATTTTTGCCTAGAACATCAAAAAAAGCCACTATTCTTGATTGTCCCCCTCAAAAAAAACTTTAAAGATGTGCAATAGAAAGTAAGTGTGAATGTATTTTGGCCAAGGTAAAAGAGCCATGGATAAAAGCGGGATTTTCTATACTAAAAGATCAAAGTCTAGTGAAAAATCTTTCAAATCTAGACAATGCATATTCAAAACTTAAGAAGCATGAAAATAGGGGATCCACTGCAGATTAGGCACAGCACATCAAGAGTTTAAAATTTACGTGAACAAAATATTTTGGGCTGGCATTCATGATCTTAGAAATACAATCAAAAATGACAAAAAAAAGATCTGATTTTGACAAGCTTGAGGATTTGGAAATTCTGGAGGACCAAGAAGGGGAAACTTATGCTTGTATCAGAAGATAAAAAAGTACAAAAAGGTTTGCAAGGTTTTCTAAGCAACTTACATTTTGCCACTTCAAAAGATTTAAAATAAAAACAAATAAACAAAAATAACAATGTTCACTCACTATTTCAATTTCTCATATAACTAAATTAAATTATTAATTATTAAACTCTTTGGATATTTTTAGGCAACAGTGAGTAGCAGAAAGAGAAAGCACTGTGTGAAACAACAATAAAAAGAATTGGATAACTAATGTTAAGATTGATACGGATGCTAGTGAGAACTCCTTGCATGATTCTGATTTTAATCCTGGAGAATGGTTTGAAAGGAAACCTTTTCAACAAAAAGTCACTGCTGAAATTAACATTGATGTTTTTGTTGGTTATGTAGCTCTTATGGCTACAATCAGTGACATTTCTCCAAGTGTTTTGCATTAAGTTACAGGTGCAATTATAACTCAATCAGGAGCTGATCTGACAGACTTTAAATGTAGCAAGTCTACAGCAGCTAGGAAAATGAAATATGTCATTCGTATTTCATTATTGTATTCGTATTATTCGTATTAGTATTTAGATTCCTCTTGCTCTGTTGAATGATGATTTGTCATTTGAGGAGAAAGCAAACCTTGCAAAAGTAATTCTAACTTTTAAAATGCTGATTTCAATTTGGTACAATACTAAAAATAAATCAAAAATAGATATAAAAGATAAAAAAAAAGGGAAACAAAACTAGTGAAAATCATTTTTCCCTTGCTCTGTTGGTTAATGAACTTTTATATCTTATGTTTGATAGATCTGTTTATCTTCCACATTGTTGTATCGGTAAATAAAGTAATTTATTCACTGATACAACAATGTGGAAGATAAACAGAATACATTGCTAACTGTTGAAAAAGATCAGTTTAAGAACACCTGAAAAGACGTTCAAAAAAACTTTCTAAAAGTAAATTTATTGGAAGCTTATCTTTTCTTGATAAAAAGAAAAGTGGTGAAAATGAACACGAACGTAACTGAAATCATTTGAACTTGTAATTTAATCCAATAACATAAAACTATCATCAAATATTGTAATTCAAAATATAAAATAATATTTTTTTGAAAAAAACTATGATACTATGTAATTTTACTCAAATATATAGGTAAAAATAAACAAAAATAAAAATAAAAAAATTCAAATTTTTGTAGTTAAATTTCCCCCCTGGACCAGTGAAATCAGCAATTTTTGATGGTTTTTGAGAATATTTTTTTAGGTGCTTAGGGGGTAAGGATTGAGTGGACCTGTTGAGCTTAAATTTTTTTGGGAGTTTTTTTAACATTTGCCCCAAATCTAGAGTGTATGGTATTTTAGAATAAAAAATTTCCTTAAATTGACTACCCCTAATATATATATATATATATATATATATATATATATATATATATATATATATATATATATATATATATATATATATATATATATATATATATATATATATATAAATATATAAATTACATTATAATGTTTTTTTAAACAAATATTATATTTGAAATTAACTTAACATAACATACTTTTAAAAAACTATTTTTGATAATATTAGGGACCTGTTTTATGTTCAAGGGTCTTGGGGCACCCCTTAAAACATATTCTTATTCAAAAATTTCTAATCTTTTAAATCTAATGGTTATGTTATTATATATAGTATTTTTAGTAAACTGGAGCAGACTTTTTTAAAATAAATTGAGGGACATTTTTATATTAGGGTAATCTATTTCACCCCTACTTCTTTTTATGCTATCTAGATTTACTTGAATACAAAAATAAATCTTCTTATGATAACAGAACTCTAAAGGATTTTGAAAACTCCTGTTTTTAATTTTTTCTGATATACATATTGAAAATTCCTGTATTTAATTTTTTCTGATATGCTAAACCAATTGAAATAATATAAAATTGCAGATCAGGCAAATAATTTTCCTTTGAGGGGCTCTTTTTTATAGTCTGAATACCCATGCTCTTGCACATAGCATAGAAAATATTGCTTTGGTTCTTCATTTGCAGTGATCAAACCATCAAATATTTTAATTAATTTTACTGCTCTTTTAGCTGCATTATTAACTGTTCTTAAAGAAAGAATTTTTCTTTTTGACTCTATATAGCCAACATATTTGTTCTATATAGAGATGGGTCTTAAGAGAAAATTCTCATTAGTTTTTCTAACAGCTTCATATTCCTTAACTTTTAGAGTAAATATAATAGCTTTAGTGATCCACCTTGCTAGATGGTTTGCTCCAGGAGGTCTGATTTCAAGTTTTTTTCTCATTGTCACCTCCTAAGAAAGCAACAGATAGTTCAATAAGTTCCTGATAACCATCACGTACAATGGCTTTGTTGGAATTCTTGATCATAAAATGTCAAAAATTCTTCTTACTACAAAATTCTATACAACAAAAATGTTGTTTGACATTAAGTTGCCTCTAAATACTATAAACATTGGGGTATCAAGGCTACTTGTGATATGGTGGATTTTTGTTTTTAACACACATTTTAAAATCAGTTTTGTAAACGTGATGGTGACAAGCATTAATGGACCTATATTAGGTGCTGTACCATAACATACTATTTGCAGCTGTTCCTTTTCTCTAAATAAGATTAAAATTGACAGGTGTGCTTCTTTAGAACTTCTCACGCCTATTTCAGGTAATAGTTTCCTGAACAGTAACCATTACTGACATTATTCTTGCTATCTGATTTTTGAGATTCTGCTTTATCTTTTCTACTTTTGACGCGAATGCGTTGAATGAACAATTTGCTTATCAGAAAATGATCACAGCTAAGATCTAATGGTTCTACTACAACCTGAAGTATATAAACAGCTACCCTTTTTTAATTTAAATCAAATTTAATTGACATCTATCAAAGCTGCAATTAACTTTGGAAAGATAAAGCTTTTCATTCCTCTTTTTGTATATTAGTTAAAGCACTTTCCATGAGATGTGAATTGTATAAGTTCCTCAAGACTTTCATCAGTGTTAGTATGTTGATGGTGATGTTCTAGCTTTGTAAAATTTTGTGCAGTAAGAGATGACATAAACTACAGAGACAAATTTACCATGTCTTTTTTTATTTAATCTTAATGTCTTTTTTTTTTAATTTTCTGTCTGGCTTTTTCTTCTTTTTTTACCTTGCCCTGCTTCTCTTTGTTTTTGTAAAAGTGATAATTATCAATTATCATTAATTATGAAGATAACTATTATCTACTAAAAATTATTAGTTTTGCGTCATTGTAAATACTCTTTTGAGTATATCTGCGCTTTTATATATACATATATGTATGTATGTATGTATGTATGTATGTATGTATGTATGTATGTATGTATGTATCTATATATATATATATATATATATATATATACATATATATATATATATATATATATATATATATATATATATATATATATATATATATATATATATATATATATATATATATATATATATATATATATATGTACATATACACACACATCATATATATCATGCTTACATGCATACATCATGGTAAACAAGAATTCTTCCTTCTCCAGCAATGCTTAATTCCTTTCTTTTACTCATTTTTTAAAATAAAAAATACTAAAATCAAACTTAATTGAAAATTTTTTTTGAATACAAAAAAACCGCAACCCCTTTGGGTGGTTGTAGAGAAATAGATCAATTTTTAGTTAAAATATTTTTTAAATTTACTATAGACTAGTAATATAAGAAATAAAAAATAATTAGATAAATTTTTACTTTTATCAATTGTCATTATAAACATTAAAAGTAATTAAAATATTTTATTAATTTTACAAATATATGAATCAGAAACCAAGTCCGATTTTTTAAATCTCCTAATTGAAATTTAGATTAGCAAATAGTGTTACTTGTCAGACATTCAAGAAACTAAATGAACTGAATATGCTTCAATATTCAGTTATTAATAATATATAAATCAATATTATGGATTTTTTAGTGCAATCAAACTAAAAAAACTAACTCCTTATAAATGATACATATTCTAACCCCCTCCACCTCTCTCTCTCTGAGATGTTTTTTACACACACCCATTCTTTAGGTTGTCCTTTGTAGTTTTTAGGAGTAAAAAAAGGTGGTGGAACAAAAAGTTTATGAAGCGCAGTCTAAACTGTAAATAATAAACTGTTATATAAAATATAACTGTTATATAAAGTCTTTTAATAATAAACTAAAACCATAAACTAAGACACACAGACACTGATTGAAATCAAGAAAATAAACAACTTTAACATATCTTAAAGGCATAAATTTAGTACTTACCTCAAATGTCTGTATTAGTCTGTGAGTGTATATGTTAGTGTGAATGTATGTGTGTGTATATATATACAATCATGCATACCACATACAATATGTAAAAGGTTACACATAATTATTTTATGCACTATTAAATAATAATTGATAAAAAATTTACTGTAACAAGAAACTATGCATTTAGTTCTAATCTTACCTACGCAACTCGGTCAATAGTGTTTTTATAGTATATGACTTTTGCCACTTTGACAACATTGGTGATATTCTTGCATCAACCTATAAATAATAATAATAAGAATAATATTCAGTTAATCACCAACTATTTTCTTTGACTAACTCTTTGATTTTTTATGCAAATATTTCAATAACTAAAGATTTCGAGCTTTCTTGCAGATATTTAAAATCGAGAAAGCAGAATAATATCAAAAAATAACTGATTGAAAAAAGGATTAGGAAGGAAACACATTGTGTTTATTTTGAAATTCAAAATTGAAAATCATTATCGAAAACAGGGAAAGCAGGATAGTATCAAGAATTAATTGCTCCAAAAATGATGTCAAATCAACATATTTAATTTTAATTAACATGAGAGGAGTGTTGCTGCATCGACTGACAAATAGGTAGAACATGAGAGGAGTGGTGCTACATTAACTAAAAGTTAAGTTTGGACAGGCAGTCTATCAATAAAAAAAAATTTAATATTATTTTCCAAATTTTCAACAAACTAAATTTTTAATTATTGCGGTATTAGTCATTTTCTGCTAATTTTGATCTTATTCTGCTTTTGGAATTTTTAATATTACTTTTTTTCAAAATTTCTCTGCTTATACATGTTATGGCAAAAGAAACATTGAACTTTTTCCATTTTTCTAATTTGGATTAAAGGTAGGTAAATAAATGAGCAATTAAGGTTTTATTTCTGCCTCCTGTATGTAAGAGCTTTGTAATTGATTACCAACAAAAAGGACAAGAAGAAATGATTAAAGAAATAATTTAAAGATACCTTTTCTCTCTTTATATTTTTATGTATATATAGATATTGCCTTAAAATACCTTTAGATAAAAAATTACAACTCAGTAATTTTAAAGAATTACTATAAGCTTTTGATATAAGCTTAAAATTTTTTTTTTTTCAAGATTTATATAAAATTTCCATTTATTTGCTGATCCTTTTTTCAAGAGATTTTTTAAAAACAATATTATAATTAGAAAAACTTGAGCATGTACTAACAATTGAATAAGTAAACTTATAGAAGGCTTAAATTAATCAAAAAAGATAATCACAGCACATAGAAAACACTAGGTTCTGAATTTTTATTTAAAGGAGGGTTAAAGACACTTTAATTTAATTTCTGTTGGTCAAAATGTCTGATCAATTAGTAAATTGAGCGGACAGTCTAAGGTTTTAGCCGGACAATGTCTGATGTCCGATCATAAAATTAAGCCCTGTATATAGGTGTGTGTGTGTGTGTGTGTATATATATATATGTATATATATATATATGTATATATATGTATATATATATATGTATATATATGTATATATATATATGTATATATATTTATGTATATATATATATATATATATATATATATATATATATATATATATATATATATATATACATACACACACAAACATAAATAAATATATATATATATATATATATATATCTCGGAATCAAGAAAAATGAGGTTGGCAATAATTTGCCAATCTCGATCTTTTTTAGGTTGTCATCAGGTCGGCAAAAATTATTTGATATAAAGGTCTGACCATAAAACATAGAAACAAGTCGGCAATTTTTTGCCAACCACTAACACATTGCGATTGGCAGTTAGTTCGGCATTGCCGAATGCTGACCCTAATTCCCAAGGTCGTATATATATATATATGTATACATATATATATGTATGTATATATATAGGCCTCAATTTTTTGATCAGACATTGTCAGGCTAAAACCTATATATAAAATATATAGAACGTTGTCTATAGAAATATACTAAAAATAGTATATTTCTATAGACAACGTTTACTCATAATGCTTTTATTTTTAAAGGATCGTTATAATTAATTTTTGATTTTATTTTATTTAAAGCGTAAAATATATTTTTTTAAATAGATTAACGATTAAAAGTTATTCATAAGGTAACGACTTTTTAAATTGCTTACAAATTGTAAAAACATCAAAACAGCCATTGTCAAATTGTTAAGAAAAAAATTATATGCGTTGTCAGACAAGATCCAAAAACAAAAACGCATTTAACAAATAAAAACATTTATTTGTCTAGTTTTTTTCCCCACATTTTAACCCTTTGGAACTCTCTCCCACCTTCATATTTTCTTGACTCATAAACCTACAACTCTTTAAGTCTATTTTTTTTTACCAAACTTAATATTGGTTGCTTGCAGCCTTGTTGGGAGTATATCAGAATGAATAAATATATATATATATATATATATATATATATATATATATATATATATATATATATATATATATAGGTGGCCCAGGGCGCGAAAAATCAACGAATTTGCGAACGTCTGGACAAAAAAAGACGAACGTCACGTTCCTTTACTTTTCCTAATACAAACGTTGGCGCTCGCCTAAAATTTTTCGCGCTACTATAGCAATTTTTTCCAAACAATTAACTATTGATCGTTTTTTATTTATTAAAATAAAAAAAAACAAAAAACAATTAACTACAAAAATTTTTAACCCATTTTCAAAGACTTTAAAAGAAACCATGCAAAAGCTACATTCTTCAATGGAACGAAGAAAGTAATTAGTTTGAGCATGGTTTTTGCATGCGTTTAAAAATGCATTCAAAATTTCATTAAAAATGACTCCATTTTTTTTTCTTTTTAAATTTTTATTTTAATTCACCTCCTCAAGGCCGAGAAGGCCACTACAGACAAGGAGGCTACTTATTTGTGGTTATAACCCTCTCTCAACTCTATAACTCCGAAACACAAACCTTGACGAATAAGGCCGCTGCGCGGAGAAACAAGTTGAGCGCGGTACTACCAGGGACGTGGTGGGGATCGAACTCAGAACCACTCGTTTATGAAGCAAGCGCTCTACCACTACACCACTACCGCATAATGTAATTTTTAATTTTATTTGCAATTACATTAAAAAAAACCATGCTTAAACAATGATTGCTTTTTTTAATGGCGTGTTTTTTTTTTTTTTTCTTTATTCCCTTAAAGTAAAGTAATGTTAGTTTGCATTTCAAAACTTATAAAAGTTTTAAAAATAATGTTCAAGTTTTGCTAAAAAATACATAATCTAATAGAATATATAAAGTTATTAGGTTTGTTAAAATTTTAATTTTTTTATTGTGCGTTTAACAACACCAATAATATGATACTTTTATTAACTTATTATTAAATACTTAATTACTATTATTTTAAAATTTTTTAAAAAATGTCAAAACAACTAAGAGTCTTTTCGATGTTAAAGAGAGATGGTACAGAGGAACGTTATATTAAACCTAAAGGAGAAGAAGAGAGAGAAACTAAACATGCGAAAAAAAAGTTCAATGACTTGGATTGTGCTATGACTTTGGGAAAATTGGATATATGGCGAAAAGATATTGAATTTATGTTTTATAACACTGTAAATGGATTGCCGCCAAGCAATAAAAAACACGAGCAACAACTAAGCTGGATTCATATTGACAAATCAAATGAGTGTTTCTCTTGCTGGGTTTGCCAAAAGTATCCAAATATTAGCAATGTTGATAAAATAGGGATTTAATGAAACAAAAAGTGTTTGCAACTTTTATGAGAACAATATTATGATAAGCAGAGAAACTTCTTATTTATGTCTATTGCAGTGGCCTTTATTCAGGGAGAAAGTCTCTAAACTAAGGATAAATTCACTTTTAACCATTTATAATGATATTTTGCTGGAAAATGAACCTGAATTGGCAAGTATAAATGTCTTGTTAGAGATTATGCTAACTTTCAGCGCTTCAAGGTAAGTTGCGAACGCAGTTTTTCTTGTATGAACTTACAAAAAAATATTTTGCGAACTTCATTAAATGATGATACTTTAGAAGATATTATGCGTATAAAGCTTGATGGCCAGTTAATTGAAGACTTTTTGCCCCAAAAACATGTCAAAAATTGGATTGACGCAGTGGTCAATCCAATTAAAAAGTTCTAGCGATTTTTAAATCCATTTATATAAATATAAAAATTAATACATATTTATAAATGAGACGCCATTTTTCGATTTATTTCTTTAGTTCCTTTTATCTTAATTTTTTTACGTTTATACGTATATTTTATGAGTAAATAAATTTAACAAACTAAATTAAAAAAAAGTTTTGCATCCTTGAATAACAGTATACAATCATTGCATATTAAAAATCAATAATTTGCGCGCACTTTGCAAATGCATGAAAAATTGTTTCGAAAATATGACAATTGATTAAATTTAATAACCATCTTTCATATATCCAAAAGCTTATTAACTAGAATAAAAATTTATTTGAATATAAAACTTGTATTCTTATATATTATTTGACACGTATCACTTAAATTAGACGTTCGTCAATAATTTAAAATACGAACGTCAACGTCCGTGAAAAAATAAATGATTTCGTGCCCTGTGGCCCTTAAAACAACTTTTTTGAGAAAAACCTGCTCCCAGTCCTTAAATGTGTTCTAATACAAAAACACTAGGTTTAAAATTTTTTTGAATAAAAAATATTATAAGGGGTCCCTCAAGACCCTCGAATATTTAATGGTTCCCTAATATTTTCAAAAAAAATAAAATATTTTTAACATTAATTGATAAGCACTTCCCTATAAATCACAAGTTCCACAAAATTTTTAACAGAAACACATTAAAAAAAAGTTACAGCTGTATGCCGAATATGAAATCCGTTTTAACTGCCCACAATTGCCATTTTATAAACAACAAGAAAGAATCAGCTGAAAATAATGGCAATTGCATAGATAACACCTGCCCTTTATCAAACCAATGCTTAAAGAGACTACCAAGTTTCGAGACAAGTTGTGTTCATATTAAAGAAAATGGTAAAAAAAAAATGTCTGAGCAAATTTTTTTTGATTAAAACAAATTAATAAATGTATACAAGAAAAACAAATCTTGTTGTTTTAGTCGAAGCTCGTCTTCTCCATTTTCTGCTGTATTTTAAGTATGTAAAATAAACATGATTTTCCAGGCGGGTTATACAGACTTGATAATTTATTCAAGTGCGTTTAATTTATAGAAGTTTAAGTACATGACGTCATTAGAA